AAACAAGAAAATGTCGATTGGATTGTTTAAAATTCATTTTGACCTATATGGAAAAACAAAGCCTTTTGTCTCTTTATTTAGGAGACAAATACTACTCCATTAACACTGCAGCACACACTGTTTTTTGCCTCTAATGTGTTTACCTAAGTACGTAATCAGCACAATCAAGACTCTATGTCCCAGGTGCCCTTCTGACATATTTACAGTTAGCAAGCTAAGCGTGATGTGACAGTAAACATTATGTAACTTTTACACTCTGCGATTCAAGGCCTATAGAAAGTAACATTTGAGGGATATGGGTAAAATAAAACAAGAAACAGCACAAGAAACAACCCATATACAATGTATGGGTCGATACAGGCTTCTGTTGAAAGCAGCTACAGACGAGCAGTGTAACCTGAGACAGACCAACAACATCGAGTCCCATGAGCCACTACAGCTCCTGTATCTAGTAAACAGAGCTGTGAATAGCAACCTACTGAGAGAATAGAACCCAAACTGTGTTCTTAAAAGCTGCCAGTAGACTCACAGGTTTTTGTTCCTCTTGGTTTTATTTAACTCGTTGCTCTGCGACACATTGCAAGCCATTTAAGAGAAATGCCTGAGAAGCTGGCCTCTGTTAGAGCCACACACCTGCAGCCTTCCTGGCATACATCACAAATAGCAGAGGACATGCATTTTTCTAAACCAACTCCTTTCTTTGTTTCAGACATACCAGAGCCACTAGGGGACAAGGCATTTCCATAGCTGGCAGGCACATCTTTATTAAAATGTGCCCTTTCATGAACAAATGAAGCCAAAATGCAACAAACAGGAAGATATTGAAACTAGTCAGCAGCTTCTGAGCTAGAGGAAAAGGTTTTGTATGCTCATCAAAGAGGAGGTAAAGGCAGAATGGTAAAGATCATGACTTTGGACCAAGTGGATCGATAGCTCAGCTGACAGGAGTGTAAAAAGTGTTTGCTGCCTTTATGAGCAGACTGTAATTCTGTCAGCAGTTTGTGAGAGACTGTGGGTTACAGTCAGGGCCTGATTTACATATACGATTGGGAAACAAGCAGTAGGAAATTTATTTGATTCTGATTGCACAGAAAATACTGTAGATGGGACAGTGACAGAAATTGGACAATGGTGGCATTAGTTAAGCATTAGCCAAACAAGAACTAAAAAGAAGCTAAAATAGGTTACATGTCATTGATTCTGAAAAACATTATAGAAGTTATTTCTTTGAATGCACAACAAAATCAGGATTGGAAAAAAGGTATTTGAACATATCTACTATAATTTATACATAGTGAGGATATTAATTGACCTTCTATGAAGCCAATTATTTCACATTGTCAATTCTGTATTATGTGTTACAGAGCATGTAAAGGGTTATATAGTGTATATATAAAGGCTTCGTGACAAACTGGTAAATATTTACTAGTACATATGTGCCATGTTCGCGTTTTATCAAATCTGACAACACACTGTTGTTGTGGTGACCAAAAGAAGAGAAACAAGGGAGAAACAGAAATGACAGGGCAGAGAGAGGAGAGTAAATAATTGAGGTGAATAGGACTCTCTATTCAAACCCCATCCCTATGCCACACTCCTGCTCTGAACACTAGCCAATCAGCCCATGTGTCTCTGCATCTCATGCTTTCCAGTGCATGACTTATTAATGGTCGGAGAAACTGGAGGCGAGCAACCCAGAAAACCTCCGGTAAGAGTTTCACAATCAATCAATACACTGGGTGGATTGAGGCAAACATGCACTACTGTGGTGACATCACCACATCCTGTAGTGTGTCAACACAGCCGGCGTGTGCTGTAAACTGCAGACCCATTGTGTACCCTAAACTAACTGTTGTGACCATAAAAAATTGTCTAAAGTCAAAGTTAATTCAAGAGTTGGATGAGACTGACAGTGGTGGTTAGGCCTGAAGAAGCTGATGTAATAACTGAAGATAGAGAAATCGTTAAAAGATTCCTTACAACTTGCAGCCATTTTTAATAGCTTGCAAAGTGGAACAGGGGGGCCGCAAAATGGCAGAAGAATGAATAACAGCATATTGAGTCTATTTACAAAGAATTTAGGTCATTCTTCCATCTTTCCTTTCAGAATCCTTCACCTCAGCTGAGTGAACATACTGTGTTGACAACAATATTTGGCACCACGGGAAATGTAGAGATGGGGCCAGATACCGGAGAATAAATGCAGGGGCAAGAATGTGCTGCTGAGGCAGTTTGAATTAGGTTAACGACAGGTTAGCTTATATAAAAGGTCTCACAAATCATTACGTGTAGAATCTGCAGACTCTTAGACAACAGTTCGATTGAGTCCATGAAAAGGGGGCAATGGGTCAAGAACGATAAATGGAGCAGGGTTACTTACCAAGTGTGACAAGGCTGGTATGCATAAATGTAAAGTTTGCATTACAGTGCAAATTAGTGCATGAAGGTTTACCTCCGTTGCTAATTGCAGAAATCCCCCGGTGAAAGTCTTCAAAGCTGATCACCCCAAGACCACTAGGATCCAAAAACTTAGTCAGATCCTTCACCTGAAAGATAAAAGTAATGCAACATTAAAACCCAAGCAAGAGAAAAAATGATGTAATGAATGACGCAACGGGAAGTCTTCCAGTCAACGGGGCAAATGACTTAGCTGCAATGTTTGCATACAGACTCCAGTGGAAAAGCATACCGCGGACAGGGGAACAAAGCAGCATTTAATCTAAGCATAAACCACAGAGAACTACTGAGAACAAAGTCTCAAAGTGATGTCATTCACATGATGGTTCAACTGCAGAACATAAACTTCAAGGATATTTTGATGACAGAAGTCACCAATAAAACACGTCTGACCTCTTGAGGAAAAGCAGCTTTTGCAGACGTCAAGTGTTTCTGACTTTATTGGATGCAGGGCAATAGTGAGTTTACAGTTAAGGATTTTAAAGCTTACACAGGGTACTGTATAATGTTTATTTGTATGAGAAAACCATAAGAAAAACAAGTTACAAAGAGATTCTGGACCCAAATACAAGAAAGGTTTCTACTCAAGTGAATTCATGATGTGGCGCAATATAGCATTTTCTGCATAGAAAAGCTGCTGCACTCAAGAATTAAACGGGTTATGTAAGTGCACCTACATATAGTATATTCCTACAGTCAGTAACCTGGCAACAAGAGAATGAGAGCTTGTGTAACCACATGACCCCAGAGAATAAAAAAGATCAACAATGCACTTTGGATCAACTTGTTTTTTGATTAAAATTTGATTTTAATGGATGTGAAATTATATTTAATCTGATCTGTACTCTGAGGGACTTCACCTGTGTGGATTCATTGGTACATTTCTCCTGTTAGTGCTTACTGAAGCCCATTTTCCACTGGTGAACCAACCCACTAACATTGGGCTTTTGTCTGCAATGGGAATGAATTAAATCGCTTTTCACTCCAGGGTTAAATGACTCTGCAGTAGACTCTGATCTGCAGTGATGGAAACGTGACCCAGGTGAACGCTTGGCAAGACAGTGGGTGAGAGAGCTCCTCAGTTGTTCCTGCATGTAAAATATGCATCTACCTGCTAATTTTGTAAACTTGGTAAAAATAGTTAGCGGGCTCCTGTGACCTAACCTAGGAAACATTAGATATGTGTGTGTATCTACATAATCTTTGGTGGCGCCAAGCAATCAAAACCTATTTACACAAATAATACCCCAAGTCAAAGGTTGTCCATCCCAAAATTATACTAAGCTATTATTACAGCATAATTTCAGGCGTGTATCACTGACAAAATTGGCTGGGAGGGAGCCTGAGAGCATGTGGGGTGAGGTTTCTGTGGCCTCAGCCCACTTATTCCTTGAGAAAGTAAGTGCACAATGCAAACGTGGTCATTTTACAGAAATGTTCATTGTGTGTGCGGCCTCTTTTCTACCGTTTTTTTATATCAGTTACACATAAAAACAAGTTGATCTGCTTAGCAACACTGAGCTCCGACTCAGGAAGGCTGAGAGGGCTGAAACTCCTAATACTCATTCTAAGAACCCCTGTGACTTACGATCTGGGTTTTGGTGAAATAAACCCAGCTGTATTTAGTGAGAGGAGGGCAGCGGCCGTTCCTTCTGAATGGTGGTTAACACGGCCATGTTATGTTTAGCACGTAGAAATCAAGTTACATCCCAACTCTGCAAACATTTTCCATACAGTAGATTTGCTCTGTACTCTGCAGGTTGAAGAAGAGCTGGGGAAGAAGAAGCAGCATTTCTTTTCACAAAGAGCCATCACAGTTCACAGGAAACAAATTTCATGCAGCGATTCAGAAACACCTCTGCAGAGCAAAGTGAGAGAACTGAGGTGTGACAGGGGAATTAACTGAGCATCTGTGGCCCTGATGACGTATCCACTTAACCATTATAATAAGCAGTAAATTAGTATTAGTCATTGCTTCAGCAGTGAAAAAACTGACAGTACAAGAAATCACCTATAAAGACTAACAGCCAAAGCAACTAGAGCAGTGAAAATCGACTATGCGGAAGCTGCCCATGGCCTATATCTGTCTGTAAAGCAGTGCCAGGCCCCTCAGGTCTTGTGAGCAGAGCCTGTTGGCTATTCCTAGGTCTAACCTAAAAACTAAATGGTGACTTTGATTTCAGTTCACTCATTTTGCCCCAAGAACCTGGAAAAACTGATTTTCAACTGGAAAACTGTCCCCACTTGGGAAAATTAACTTAATTTAATGTTGCTGGAAGGACAGTTTCGTATTGGATTATTTGTTTGTGTGCTCATCTTTGTTTTGCTTGTCAGTAGCCATTTTGTGTACTGTTGAACACACAATATGTAACTTTGGTCGCTATGGGTCTTGCAAGCTAAATAATAACAAAAGACCTAGTTAGATGATTTGATTGGAATCATTGGAGCTGTCCTCACAACCATCGCTGATGAAAATCTACCACTTATTATAATGAATAATCGTGATCTATTCTCTGGGTTTGAACATTGTTTGAAATATTTTTATATATAAAATAGGTGTAGTAGGCACAGACATTCTAATTAAGAGTTGTTCCATATTATATCTTTCATTTGACGTGTTAACTATTTGTCTTGCATGGTTCTTACAACTTGCCATTCAATTTGACTTGCTTATACTTTCCACAAACCAAAATAGTCCATTTTAAATTTAGATTTATTTTTAGACATATTTAATGTATTTGACTCTTTATTTTTGAGTGTTGCTCATGGTTACATTAAACTGAACTCAGATCTAATGCTTGTCAGTTCCTTTGCTAAGCGGAGCAGTGAAGGCACTGTGGTTTTTCTGTTTCCTCTATTTGTGTCTAATTAGTGTCGGGGCACGCCTGACCTCCTCCACACAGACCACTGTTGTGCATCACCCCACGGAGAAGAATACCCTTTGGTGAGAGTATTCCTAGAGGGGATTTCACAATAGTTCCTTAAAAAAAACCTCTGATAATCATGATCATAAGCCCAGCGGGTTGGCAAAAGAGGTCAGGGACAAAAAAAGGAAGAATGATCTTTGAATATAAAACATTGAAACACACGCACACTAGTGAACCCGGGAGCGGACGTTTCAGGGCATGGGGCATTCCATTGTGGATTAGAGGGGCAGGACATAAAAGCAGCGGGTGAGGGGCAGGAGGCTGGCTAAAGTTGGGTCGGGAGCATTGGCTGGTGGGGGAGACTTGACCACAATGCTATTCAGTGCGGCTTTTGTGAATCAGGGTCAAAACCAAAGGTGGTCAGAGAGAGCTTTTCAGTAGATAAATTACCAAATTCAACAAAAGCCGACTGCAGGACGTTTCACTTTTTAGACTTTTTTTTCTTTAAATCATCAAAACATGTTGCAGACTGGTACCAACACACATAACAAACAGCAGGTTAGCATTAAGTGCTCATAGTGTTCCAAAGGCACTTAAGAAGTTTCACAAAACTTCATTAAATGAGATGGTACACATGACAATGATTTGGGTTTCATAACTGATCTATTGAGTAATAAGTTTAACCCAGGAAAGTGGTTTTACATTTTACAGTTGACAAACTGTATTTTGTCCCTTAAGTTTCTCTGATAATTATATGATACTCATATGCAAAGCACACAGAAAAGATTGTGTGTATGCACACAGTATCCTTTCCTGAAATAATTCTGGAGAAAACATTTGCATGATTAGCAAACAAGCACCAGCTTAACATGCATGCAAATAACTCATCAATACTGGTCTATAGCAGGTGGCTGGATATTTGCAAACAGGTAGAGATTAACTCAAGAATCGAATTGTATGTTAGACTGAAATTCAGCAACCTCCTCATGGGATCTGAGCTTATCCCCATCTCCACTTGGTTTACATAACTATAATTTAACCTTCATGTATTTTTTGGGGGGGGTCTTACTTGTAGATGTCCTTTTGGATCAGTGCAACATATTTCTGTGTGGTTTTCTCAACCATGCTGCTGCACGACCTGTTTTACAACCAGGGTCCAAGGTAAAGTTTCACAAATAGGAGCAACTCACTCATGGAGGTTATTCAAAACACTTTTATCTCCAGATGACTGATACACAAGGACATATGACGGTGAGGCTTATTCAAATATGAAAAGCAAATTCACATGGGTTCAGACTGATACGTGAAGAGAGAACCATTTGCTACCTTAGCATAATCTGTGTGTGTGTTGCCCTTTATAGAGGAGACCTGACTTTCCCCACTGATCCTTGAGTTCAGCTAATGGACGCCAAATCCAATGAGATGTTACAAGCATTATATAACATTCCACAAATTCTGAAGATAAGTCTGTCTGCTGCCTGCCTGGTTATTGTAAAAGCCAAAGCCTCTGCCTGTCTCCGATCACAAATAGAAATCTAAGAGGAGTTTCCTGCACGGGCACAAATTAGCTTGCGCAGTTCAGACATCCGATAGCTATTCACAAAAGTAATCAATCTGCTCAATCTTAGCAGTCCAAGGAAACTTTTAACAAGCCGGGATCCAAAGGAAACTGCTGAAATCACAATACTTGGGACCAGAATTACACCAGAAACCAATCAGGGCTGAATAACAGTGAAACAGACCACACCTATGAAATTAAATCAAACCTCAGTGTCATGTAAATGTTTCAGCTTTAGCGCTGCCCAGCCAAATAATAGTTGGAATTGATTTACATCACACTAACATGACAAAAGCCCTGATCTGTCCCTCAAAACAAGGTCAGGGGGCAGTTGGGTGGACAGCAGCCGAACCATGAAGTTCCTCTGACTCAGGAAAACACATTTTGCTCTTAATCCTTCACAAATATCCTGCCTGGGGAGCCACAGACATGTACGGCTAGACATGGGGCAGATCGGGGGCAATAGAGGTGCTTTGAACTGGGAGAGGAGGGATTAAAAAAAGCATTAGTGAGCCAGCAACACCCTGTGTGTGGCTCGCCAACAAGGGCCCATGCTCACCCTAAAAGGCCTTGTTCAAAGTTCATCAAAAATAATCTGAACTGAGCTTTTTAATATTTCATTACGTTACCTGAATCTACCTCAGGTAAATCTAGACGATCATGTGGATTATAAAAACTATGTGATGAGATAAATATCATGGCTTCTTAAATAAAGATTCATATGTTGAAGAAGAGATAAAACATGCTCACAGGGGCACACTCGACAGCTGTGCTTATTTATGTAACCAGTTAGGTCACGTTATCGTTTGCATCCGTCCTTATACTGATATTTGCAAAGGGTGTGATCACTTGCTGAAGCTCGCTGAAGCTCAGTCCCATTCTTGCCAACAATTGAACAGGAAAAGAAAAATTTTTCAGATTTTTCATTACCTGAACTTTTTTTTTTTTTAAACAATCTGACTGCCAGTATCTTTGATTTAAAAAACGTGCTACTTCAGCTGGGCCATCCGTAGTCATCTCTCTGTGGCTGCAAGCAACACCTCGCCCTCAGCTCTAACTGTCATGGTTACATATCATGAGAAACAGCCTATCAACACTTAAAGCTAGTGTGTACAGAGATGGGCCCACATGAAGCAGGATAGAGAAGCTGCGGGGTGTGGAGCTGTATATCGAAAGTAAGGCATCAAAGTTTACAATTAACATCACAGTCCTCTGAGATGAGAAGATATTTTTAATTGCAAATGTACATATATCTTATTCAAATACTGATTATCGTCTCTGTGCTTACTAATAATCACTATTAACCCTGAAAACCAGTAGGGTTGACCCCAAGTGTTTAAATGATGATTTTGGTTAAACTTTGGGCTCAAAATGAGAAACCTAAAGTGAACATAATCTAAAAAGAGTTTAGTTTCAGAGGTTTCAAATTGTCAGTCACCGATCCTCATCTCTTGACTTGCAAGTGACTAAAATCTTATGTTACAAAGAGGAGCTGAATGTCTGGTGCAAACTATGAGATACAACACATGGGTGAGGGTCATGGGTGGAGTGGCACATTAGCCATTTCACCAGAGATTATCCACCAAACCACATGATATGCAAATGTGGTTTGTCATCTGACATATGGAGGAGTTCCAGGCCTGTCAGAATTCATTACAGCCAACATGGCTGATAGGATCATCTCCGTGATAACCCAAATCCTACCCTTTGAACACTGACCTAATATAAATGACAAACTAATCCAGGCATGGTTTTAACCATATGCATTGGCATTAGCCAAATCTACTACACTGGATATTCAGAGGTTGTTCATGGGAAACCAGCACAGGTAACATGTTCATGTTATCTGTGCAATACTAGCCTGCTGCAATTCATAAAACACATGTTATATCATGCTTGGGGGCATGTTTTATTAGAAAAAAACTGCACAGAAGAAATCTCCATTAGCGCCTGACCAATTTATCGATATGTCCAATAAAGATTATCCAATATGAGGCTTTACAGACATACTATATCAGTGTTAATGTTTGCTGATATGTACCGATATCTAAATATTTATTTCACTGAATAAACAGTGCAGGAAAGTTCTGCATTTATATTTACATCAAAATAAATGTATTTTCTTTATTAAACTTCTAAATATTTGGTTGTATTTGTTTTTTTTTTTATTAATAGTTAATTAGTTGAGTAGAGGCAGATATACCTGTATCAGAATATATTTACACTCTAATATCAGTATCGAACAATAAAATCCATATCGGTCAGGCTCTAATAACTATCTGAAAATTGTACAAATTTTCACAAACTATTAATAAGTTTGGCTTCTTCACTAAATTCCCCTCTAACATTGACTTTCAATGCTAGAAAGTGGCATCATCCGGATGAATTTCAGATGATTTAATTTAGAAAAGGATTTTCAGGAAGTTCTCTGGGCTTCAGCAGAAAATCAATGGTAAATCATTTACGTATATGGAGCTTTATATGGTTTTATGCAGCAGTTCACTGAGCATGCATTACCCAGCAGCTGCCTGCTCAAAACAGACAAAGATAAATGATCTCACCTGATCGGCCCCATAAGCAGCAGCAAACTCCATAAACTCCTCAATCCGAACAAAGCCATCTCCGTCTTGGTCCAAAGCATCAAAAACAGCTTTCAGCAGGGAGACATCATCCTCCCTTGTGTTCACAGCTGAAACCATTGGCAATGAGTCATCTACCACCATCTTAGAGAGGGTAATCGTCTCCACATTTTGCTCAGTAGTCCATCCAGCTTCAGGAGAAGAACTGTCAAAGTCCTGAACTGAAATATCAAAAGAGGCTATTTCATGACAATCTGATTCCTCGAGCTGGTTAGAGTCGATCACACTCTCCTCTTGCCTCTGTTCAAGTGCTGGATCAGGAACACTTCCACATTGTACACTCTCCTGTTGTTTCAAGTCCCAGGTTTCCTCGTCATGGACCTCATTAGCAGTCAAGCATAGATCCAAAGCCATTGCCTCATTCCTCTGATTTTTGGCTTCAGAACTAATTTTGTCCACCCTCAAATCCTTTTCCACAAAGTAACTCTCACTGGTGAAATCCCCCTGGGTGAAGACATCTTCAGCCAGAGGCACAGTCAGTGATGAGGGTTCAGCTGACAAACCCAGAGCTAATGAGTCATTCTCACCCTGTTGCTCAGATGTCAGATTTCTAATTACAGCAGCTCCTTCGTGTTCCACCTCCGACTCCTCTGTTGATAAATGTAGCACCGGTGCACCTGTGCAGATAACAGTGGCAGGACTGGCCAGGCACAGGCTCCGACTGGAGTCACAATCTGGAACCTCTAAATCCAACAAAGACACAGATCCTTCGATACACTCCAGTGGTGTGCTGATGTGGTTTTGTGACAGGCTGTTCTCCGGCGACCCTTGCACTGTAGAGCTACTGGTTACAGGCAGATCCGTCACTTGATCATCAGGAAATAAACCTTTGTCTCTGGTTTCAGGTGACAATGTCTCCCTGCTCTGTAAGGGAGGGAGACCTGCCTGCTCCTCTTGTGACAGGTCTACCAGCTCCTCACTGACACCCAGTGGGTCGAACTCACCTGAATATTCCAGGGGTAGACACATGGGTTCACTTTTGAGGAGATCTACCAATGAAAAAGGATCCCCTGTGTTGGTCCTTATGGAAATGTTCGATGGAGACTCAGGTACACCGAGGCGTATTAGCTCGCCCTGACTACTGAGGGCATTTGAGCCCTCCAGAGGGGCCTCCTCTGTCAGATTCAGTTCCTCACAGGCAGACCTCTTTCCAACCACATCAGTGAGGTTTGGAGGAAATAACCATGATAAGGTATAGTCATTGATTTCATCAGGTCCCTCAGTTTTTTCTGTAAAGGACAAGTCCTCTAGCTGTGAACTATGGAGAGAAGCTTTGGAAAGTGCGGACTGGTCGGCCTCAAACTGCAAATCTCCACAAGAGAAATCAGAGATATTTATGAGTTGGCCCAACTCCACCTGGGGCTCGTCCTGGAAAACCTCAGCTTCTCCACTTTGTTGGGATGTGTGATCTTGGTCACTGTCTCTGAAATCCAAACCAGTCCGGCCACTCTTGTTTTGACAGAGCACACCCCCGTTGTCTGAATCCAGGGTGTGAAATCCGAGAGGAAAGGACTGGTCCGACTCCCACGGCGTGTGCCCCAGAGGGCCAGACAACACGGTCGGTTCCATGATTCCCCTTCGCACACCTGAGAGTAGCTGGGGATGTCTTCTATCTCACTGCTGTGGAGGTCCAGCTCCTTAACTTTGATGCCATGTTTTAAAAAAGGCACTACACCTTTTCAGGGGAGCCTTGAGATTAAGGTGTGGTTTTACTAAAAGCGTTGTCTAACATTTAAAAAGGTTGGCAGGTGCTGCGATGACATAAAATTATACATAAGTAACTTAGAAAGGATCATTTAAAGAGGGTGGATTGTATTAGAAACGATGTCAAGTCAGGCAATGAATTGACAAATCGTATTTGTTGTTTTAATTTCAGTGGTTGGCTTCCACGTGTGGACAATAACATTACCTAAACTCAAAGGTCATAATAGTCTCTCGGCCTTACCGCATATTGTACTGGTGTCAAAGTGTGCGTGTCCCTCTCTGTCATGGCTGATCCTCTCCTGGTTGTTGCCGAGTGTTCGAGCTCCGGCACATCCAGCGTCAACATGCTTCACCTCGGCCCGGCAGCCGGTAACAATCACCGGGGTGAGGTCTCTCCCAGCTGAGCGGATTAACACGAGTGACAGCACCTCTGCCAACCACACGGTCCTTAACGTGCTAATTAATGGCGCTAAGTCACCGGTGTTTGTCAACATTAGCTTTCCTAGCCGATTATCTCGTCTCATTCACGGGGAGCTTATTTAACGAGGAGACGAGCTGCGTGAAACTGAATTAAACCTCGGGTTACAGCGTTAATGTTCAAAGTGCCCTTAAGAGAGTGGTCAAGTAAACAGCTGTGTATCCTCGAGTGAACGTTTGCTAGCAACTGACGCTAACTCCTCCTTCGAGCATCCCACCGCTGCTAACCGACCAGCTAGCGAAATTAGCCTATTAGCTAGCTAACACAGCGAACGGTCCGACCCCCACCGCCCCTCTCTCTCGGTGAAATTGACCCGAACGTCAGCTCCAATCTCCCGCTGGTTAAATCACGAATGGCGTGGGCGGCCAGCTCCCTCACAGTCCAGTATTACGTCTTCATTTCGTTGCCGTTTTCCAGCCGCAAATCCACCTGTGTCGGTCACAAGACAGGCCGGAGGAGGGACGAGGCGAGAGCCCCTCTTTTCTCTCCTCGTCTCGTAAACACGCCTCGTCCCCTCGGACCCTCGTCGAGACCCGGTAGTTGGGGGGGGGGAAGGTGCGTTAGACCGGCCCGAAAAGCTCCGTCATGTCGCAGGCAGCTCCACCGATGTTGATCACAGACGAGGAAAGCTCTCGCATCAGCATCAGCAGTGACCCATCCTCCTCCTCCGCCTCCTCCTCCTCCTCCTCCAGCCGCATACACACCGCTGACGTTTCACGCAAGCGTAGAAAACACCCCGCAGTATCACCGCGCTCCACCATCAACAGCTGGCACCTGGCGATCCGTGCCCACAATACAACACTCACCTGTGGACACGTGTCAGAGAGTCACCCCCTTCACACTGGGTCAGTGCTCTGGGTCAGTGCTCAGGGTCAGATGGAGGAGATGCCGGATGTCCGTGCCTTGCTCGGTGGCACCTCGGCAGCGTGGATGTGAACCCCCTCAGATCCACCAGTGAGAGTCTGTATTAAAGTGTTTTGTTGAATAGCTATGATAAACCAAATTTCTCATTTTAGGACAACTCGTGTGGATTTTGAAGAAACTGTTTTAATGGATGCTATTGTAATGTGTTGGCGCCCCCACCTGACTCAAAAGAGTATTGCCCATCTCTAGATTTGTAGTTGCTGCACCTCATTGTATAATTTAGTGGACTGTGTAGTATTATTGTATAAATGTATAGTGCTAAGTACATCAAGCAGTTATTCTCTTTAAGACTAATATTTATAAACTTCAAGCCAGGGGCAGATTCAGGGGCAGAGCTGGTCATGTCAGTCGTAGTTATAAAAATAAAAATAAATCAATATTATTTAATTTTGCTGCTCAATTTTATGATTCCTATTTGCCTCATCGGGTGTAACAATGTGCAACATCCTTTGCCCTCAACCGTCACAAAAAAACAAGAACCTTCTTGCTTTACTGTCAATAATTAAAGCAAACTGTAGTCATCATTACCTAATAATAAAACTTTATTAATAGATGAGATGCATGATGATAAGAAACAGCTTTGCAGTGGGTGAAAAAATCCCATACATATAATACAGTAAGTACAGTATGTTAGTGTTCAACACCTTAAGCCACTAAGAAAAACGCTCTCATGACAGCAGTGGTGAGATAAACCACAAAACATGGCCCCTAACTCACTCTCTTGTCTTCAGCGTTTACTTGTCTCTTTTCTTTTCAGGTGACCAATAACCTGAAAGACAATAAGAGAGACAAGTGGATTAATATGGGTTGTACTGCACTCTTAAAACTTTGATATGACACAATACGCAACACCATCACTGTGCCCTCAGTCGTTCTGTCTCTCCAGATGGACCTCGAGCTGCACCTCCTCCAACACACCTGGGTCAGGAGGAGTACAGGAGAGCCCCTGTTCAGAGTTTAGCGGATTTAGAGGAGGCTATACCCAACATCATGGAGACGTCGTTGCCTGAGGTCAACCAGGCCCCGCCGTCCGCCACCAGGATGGCTCCGGTCACATACGAGGACACCCGGCTGGCCAGGAAAAGAGTGCAGTGGGCCATCTCCGTCTTGTTGCCCGCTCGCTGCAGAGGGATGGACTGGAAGGCACCAGCGGCTTCACCTCTTGGACCACCTGAGAGTTTTAAAGGGAGAAAAAGAATCCACGCTCAGACCCTCTCTAGTTGAATTTCTTTTTACAGTCGACTACTGCATTACCACCTCAAGAGGCAAAGGCTGGACAATTAACCATTTATCCAATTCTTTATATCAACTATTCAAGCTAATCTATACTTTTAGTTAATTCCGCGCCGCCAGAATTCATGGTATGCACAAGAACTGCCCGCTTGTTACATTGTCTCGGCAGGCATGTGGATATGACCCAGGACTAAGGGAGCAAGTGAACAAGCAAGACGCATCAACCTTCTTCATTATTTTCCCACATTTTTATAGTGGTATAGCTCAAGGGCGTCTGCAGAACTACAACTGGTAATAATGCATAATATAAGCATTCACAGCCTGGGACCATAGACATAAACAAGGATAGAAAAAAAATAAGCAGGGGAAAGTGTGCAGATAATTTGTGTACTGCAAAACTCACAGATTCCTCTTTTTGATTTTAAACTATATCAAATATAGCCGAGCCAACTGTCTCATTTTATGGCATTATCATTGTTATTAACAGATGAGGCCAAAAAGAGTGTACGCACACAACAATATACAAAACCAACTATGAATGATGACAATGTTAGATGCAAAATGTCCTGAGCAAAGAAACGCTCTAGATTCTTTGCTCAAAGTGTGATATTAAAATATCTTCAAGGCAATTCATTTTAGGTTTCTGAGTACTTATCTACTTCTATATATAATTTCTGTGTTTTTCCAGAATCTCTCTCATTAGAGATACAATTGATGGTAATGGTGTAGAAGCAAGAGAACAAGAGATAAAGAAGTAAGAATAAAACACAATATTCTAACATAAGCCATGTCACAAATATGTAAATTAAGTGTCATTAAGCAACAACAGCCTCAAAGTACCATTTGTTTCTGAGGTTGGTGTATGTACTGTAAGAGATAGTACCACTGTTTATCATAAATAATCTGTTTTATATACAACAATGTAAATTTACCCAGCCTGCGGAATCCCTCTGTGCCAGAGATAGGACCTGGTGCCACAGCATTGACCCTCACCCCACTGGGCCCCCACTCCACGGCCAGGTGCTTGGTCATGGCGTCTGGGGACACGGAGGGAACGCAGAGTCATTCGATTCTCATTCTGAAATTGTCTCATAATAAAACGGCTCTTACCATTCGCAGCCTTAGCAGAGCCAGCATGCACCTGCAGGGCCTGCCCCTTGTAGCCGAGTGTTGCAGAGATGTTTACTATGTTGCCGCCATGATCCTGCACACAGTTGGTGGGAGACTCAAAATCAATGCAACGAGTAAATGATCAAACCAGCAGAGTTCAACTCATGTTTAGTTATGAGCAGGCATTCAGTCTCAGATCTTTAGTGACCCCTCCTGGTGATCAGAGGGCATTGCAGAAACTTACTGGAAGCTATTGATCTAAAACTGAATTATGTCTCTGCTGACACCTTATTATTATCTATGCCCTTGGGGTAGTAAACAATACTTATAGCTTCATATCTTTAAGTTAAAAAATATACTGTATCAGACAGAAAAGTGTATTGTACCTTAAACCACTTCTCATAAACCACCTTGCTGGAGTTGAATGTTCCCATAGTGTCTATCTCCATCACAGTCTTGAAGGCGTTGAAGGAGAGTGAGGTCGCCGGGCAGAGAAAGTTTCCAGCAGCATCTGTCAACATTTAGGACACAGCAGAACAACAACAAAAACTATAACAATTCCCATAAAAGACAGATGGAGGAGGGTAATCTTTCATAAAAAGGCTTTATGATTGCATCATTTATGAGGTGCATAAATATAATAGGCATCTCAATGCATATGTAATCTGAGTCTGTTTTGACACCTGATAATGTTGAAGTGATGTAACAGTTTGAGGAAAAAGTCAGAAAAGTTAATGATTAAACCAAAACCTTTGACACTTGACATTTGTTCAAAGTACATTAGCACGCACTCGACCTTAAGACATCTTTAGATGTATTTGCACTTATGTTAGCAGGATGCACTGTAGAATGATAATGAATGGGGGAGACTGCTGCCACCACAAACCACATTGACTGTATAAAAAAATAGGAAGCATGTCTCCTCTTCTTCCCAATATCCAGAAACACTAGTTTCATGATTTCACCCTGTTTTAATAGCATAAAATATATATTTAAAAAGTTTTATTGGAAAAATAATCTGTTTGATAAAAACTACATAGAATGATAGTTTGGTTCATGTCCTATCTATTAACATGAAGGAGGCAGGACTTGTACTGCAGCCAGCCACCAGGTGTCTGTCGACACTCTTTGGCTTCACATTTGGGAAGCTGTCATCCATCTCTATATACAGTCTGTGCCACAAACACATAAATCCCAAGAGACAAAACACATCATTCTTAAACTTGTGAATAAGAGATCACGTACTGTTAATGAGGATGTCAATACGACCCAACTCTTTCAGCGTCTCATCCACAGCTGCTGCAATGCTCTCAGGCTGCCGCACGTCCAAGCACACGGGGAGACAACGACGTCCTGATGCAGCAGACAGCTTTTGAGCCGCCTGAGGAAACACACAATAACTTTACACGAGGCAAACACAGTAATATCTCGTCACGTTTCTACACGTATATTTAATGGACGTTGTGCAACAGGAATAACCTCTTTGAGTTTGTCCAAGTTTCTGCTTGCAATCACCGTGTCACAGCCATGCCTAACACGTAGAAAAAGAGGGAAACATGACTTTGTGGAGCAACAGAGAAACAACAGCAAAGAGAATGTGTTTTATTGTGTTGACCTGAACATGAAATACAAGCATAGGTGAGGCTTAAAGGGAGATAGAGCGAGTAACTTCTGACACAACACGTGAGACAAAGGGTGAGAACAAGAAGCAGAATACAGGGGAAAGAGAAACGTTAAGGGGGTGAGCCTAGAATCAAATGTTTTTACATGCCAGGACACAAAGTTACGAGGTCAGGCGTCAATGTTTTATAAAAGATGAACTATTTCTGACACGTGAGTATATTATTCAACTACTTCAACTATGTCACACAAGCAAAATGATGAAAGTCTCACTGTCAGATAACACAAGGTATAAAGTGCACCTGCATACCTTCTTCCTCTCATTTTACCGTTTTGGAGTGTTAGCGATGACATAAGCATTGATTCTACATATCAAAGATTGATCCTTGCACTGTACATTCACCAATCACTGTCAGAGGAATAAAAGAATCTGAGAATGTTGTGGTCATTCTCCTCACCTCATGAAGATTTCAGCTATCCTGAGTCCTATTCCAGATCCCCCACCTGTGATAAAAGCAACCTGATCCCTGAAAAAAGTCAGAAATCCTCATGAAGTTATTAGATTCTATCAAAATGTAATTGTGCAGACAGTAAATAGATGATAATAAGCCGAATGCATCTTAAAGCACATGTTTTGATGCTCACTTTAGTAAATCTGGACTGTAGATGTGTGTGTATGACGTCAGGCAGTCGTCAGTGCAAACATCTTCGGGCAGCAGTTCTCCTTTTCTCTGTGGCTCTGCCATGCTGAAAAAAAATATACAAGTTAAATAGACACATACATTCTCGCATTACTATAAACCAATGTCGGAAGTTGACAGCAGCAATTTGGATCAAGTTTGCTTTAAATAGGGTTATTTGAATCAATATTTAAATTCAAGTAAAATGTTTTGTTCTGTCTGTGTTCCTATTTTTACAGTTTTATCTTTTATCATCCTCCTGATCCGTTGATCACACAGGAGGATCATTCAGAATCATTTTAAAATGGACTCTTTAATTACAGCATGTCCCGCAACAATCCCCACAATTTGGGGATGAATAAAGTAACCTATCTATCTATCTATCTATCTATCTATGCATCTATCCACATCACTCACTCACTCACTCTCTCTCTATTTATATATGTATCTCTTTCTATCCCTCTTCATCTCTGTCTAATTAGTATTTCAGTTCTTTACAATACTGTGTACAACACATAGTGTGTGTGTGTGTGTTTGTGTGTGTGTGTGTGTGTGTGTGTGTGTGTGTGTGTGTGTGTATTACCTGCTGCACTAAACAAGCTAGTTCTTGTCGTAACGCTGAGAAAAGAAAGCTCCAGCTCGTCTGATGAAACTTCACCTGCACACGAAGCAGCGACACAGACCCGAGGAAGCGGCTTCACCTTTACTCCCCCCCCATCACACGTCTTTCTTTCCTGAACTCAGAGAAAAGTTGAAGAAGATAAGAACCGAGCTCACTGTACCTCGGACTCTGTGTGCTGCATTCACGTGCTGTCGGAACAATCGGGAAAAATGACTTCCCGACTGGGTAAATTAAAGGTCCAGTGTGTAAGATTTAGGTGAAAGGATTTTTTTTGGCAGAAATTGAAATAAAATAATCCTAGAGATGTATTCACTGGTGTTTAATCATCTAATGTGTATGAATTTTTGTTTTCTTCACCATAGAATGGGCCCTTTATATCTTAAAAAACTTTATGTTTACATGGAAGGGGGTCCTCTCTATGGAGGCCGCCATGTTTTTTACTGTTGTTCAAACTGGACAAACTAAAACCTTTTGAGTTTTTATTACAGCTGAAGTTCACCACAGGTTCTCTTTCATGTTTGGAAGGGGAGGGTGAGGTGAGGAGTCTTCAGCTGCAACATGCACGTTCACCTCTAGATGTCACTAAATAAAACACACCGAACCTTTAAAGAAACAGGTGCAACCAGAAAAAACACATGCAAATTAAGAAAACACATGCAAATAGAATAAACATGTACAAGTCTCTGTATTTGCATGTGTTGTGACTTTTTGCTGAGAATGTGTTGACAAAGTGTCGAAGTTGTTTCCTTAAGTTGCACATGTTTTTTTCATTTGCATGTTTTCTTAATTTGCAGTGCGTTGAGCTCTCTTGTCCACCGTACTTCTATATTTAAATTGTTTATATTTACACCGGAGCGGGTCCTCTCCCATCGTTTAACAGTAGTAGTACATCAGTCCTTTCTTTTCTCTTTGTTTTTATGTAAATATTAGAAATTGGTGTCAAGGTATTGTTTAAATGCTCTCAACACATAAATAAAACACATTTTTGTTTGCAGCGTCCATGTTTTTTCCACATTTTAACCTCACAACTCGGGAATTGGGGACCTTCTGAGGAGCACGTGAATGCACCGGCTACTTCCTCGACATTCTTCAGTGATGCATTATGGGCACTGAAGTCCCTCCGGTGTGTGCGTGTTCAAGAACACAAGTCCAAACGTGTTTACGTTTTGTTTAAGACACAGTTAGTAGTGACGAGGTGAGTATACGGTTAAAAGACATAACACAGAGTAAGTTGTAAACTTTAGAGGTCAGGACTGATGTGATTTAAACCAGACCAGACAACAACAAGCTCAGGGGACTGTAAATGTCTTTTAAAACCCAGATAGTGATTCTGTAGCTCATCTCCTATACCCATCATCGTCTAGGATGGCAGCTCTAAGGGCCCTCTCTGGTAAACCAACACTGGAATAAATGATCCAGGGGTGTATCATTTCAGCTTTGAGGCCGATTAGTGTGCTCTGGAGCAGAGAACGGCCTGTATTGATCTGTACTTTTGGGATTCACTGCTGGATGGAAAAAAAGCCCTGCCTATGCAATGGATCCCTCAAAGACTTTAGGAATGGATATTTTCCTCTGCACTAAAAGGCTGCACGACTGCCAGCTACAGGCCTGAGAGGATCGGAAATGTAACATGAGTGCTTTTGTGATTTGATTAGTTTTTTTCAAGAGGCATAAACAAGAAAAACTGAGGGGCGCTTTAAAGAAAATGATAATGGACGCTTTGGCCCATGAGCCAAAAAAACAGCTTTTACTGACAAATGCTCCTTATTTTTTTTACCATTTCATATTTAGTTGTTCTTCATTGGGTATTTTATTATCGTTTGGTGAAGGAGCTGCATTACAGATCAATGTGCAGTGCAATAAAAGAAGCTATGTCCTGTGATGGATTTCTACAATAAGGTCCACATGTCTGATAATTGATTTTGTTAAGGGCCTAATTCTCCTTCAACAATAATAATAAAAGATATTTACATGATTACTTAAATGTCCGTCGACGCAACAAAGAAAACGTAGTTCCCTGACCGGGAATCGAACCCGGGCCGCGGCGGCCCGGGCCGCGTATAGTAAGCCTTAACTCTCTTAACTTTCCCCATTCATTCTCTATGGTAGTGCTTAACACTACGGATGTAATATATTTTTGGCCACTGAGTGTAATTTGGGGGCGCTGTTGCCCCGTACCGGAAACCGGAACCGGAAATCCTGCTCCTTAACTTTCCCCATTCATTCTCTATGGTAGT